TGTTCACATATATCCCTCCTGTGCCCCAGGCAATGCTAGACCTCGGTGCACGGGATCTGGTCTGCAGGTCCGACCTCTGGGTCCCAGAGTTCAAACTGTATCCCCACCAGGGAGAGGAGTTCTGGTCCCAATTCACCCACAGGGAGCCCAAGCTGGGTCTGTGTCTCTCAGCCTCTGAGTCTGCACTGTTCTCCTGGGATCACCGTGCCAGCAGCACCTGGGAGGGCTGGCGGGTAGGGAGCTCACAGACTGAGTTCCCCTTAGTCAGCTGTAGGGTCCCAAAAGGGAAGGTCCCGTTCCCTGGAGGTGCCTCCGGCTGGTGGCTGTATTGTCTCTCTGGGCAGCCACGGGTAGGGTGGGCGGAGGGGAGGAGGAGGCAATATGGCGCCTGTCGCGCGGCTTGGGTCTGTGCACACGGAGGTGCCAGGAGGGAGTTGGGAGCCTGGTGCCGCGTCCACTACAGGCTCACCGCTGGCTGGCGGCGGGCGTCTCTGGGCTGGTGTCTGTAGGTCTCTCCACCCACTGGGGAGCCCACCAGCAGTCTCAGATGCAGGATAGGGGAAAGGTGACTGATCCACCTACCCTTGCCACTGGTCTCTGGGCTGCTCCGGCGGTCTCAGCTTCCAGTTCTCCCCCGCAGCCTCCTCCTGTGGAGTCTCCCGGGGTCTCAGGTAACTCTCCTTCCGTCCCTCGTCCGCTGTATGCTCCTCTTCTTGCTTCTTTTTTCTAATTTCTGCTAGAATCTGTCTTTTCTGCAGAGACACTCTGTCTGGTGGTGTTTCTCGTCCGCCATCTTGACCCTCCCCCCTCTTTTGTCCCACTTTGCTGTATTCTTGATGATAGTTTCTTCAGATTTATGAGTTTGCTAATTCTTTCCACCACTCCATCTAATCTTCTGAACCTATTAGAATATTAATTTCAGTTACTGTATTTCTCATTTTTAGAAGCTCAACTTCATTTTTTCAAACCTGCTTCATCATTTTTACAGTCTCTCATTTTTATCTATATTTTCATTTTTTTTAGAGATAGGGTCTCACTCTGATGCTGAGGCTGGAATGCAGTGCTGTGATCATAGCTCACTGCAGCCTTAAACTCCTGGGCTCAACGGCTCCTCCTGCTTCAGCCTCCCAAGTCACTGAGTCTATAGGCGTGAGCCACCGCATCTGGCTTTTATCCATATTTTCAATTCCTTCTTTTATTTTGTTGAATATATTGGATGTTCTCATTGTATGTTCTGTCTGATCATTCTAATATCTCAAGTCTTTGTGCATCTGACTGTACTCTCTGCTGTTCTTGTGGGCGTGTGCTCCAGTTGCCTGATTTTCCTGTCTTACGAATTTTGATTGTGGGTTTATGTTTCCTGGACCTTTGTCCTTGAGAATATTTCGAGGCTTGGGTTGGAGTTGCGTTTCTCTGGAGAAGATTTGTGTTCACTTTTGCCAGGTGCCTGCGAGCACTGCCAACTCCTGCCAACTTTAAAATAAATTCTCTGCTTGAGGCTTCTCAGCCTACAGAGGGATTGTGAATTTGGGTCATGTCAGGGCCAGTTTGTGGTTACAAATTTGCAGAGAGGTAAGTTTGTTATCCTTTCCTGTGAAGTAGGTTTATTTCTCTAGTTCATCCCCCCGCTGAGGGTACAGTTCTTTGGAGTCCTGGCTTTACGTGATAGTTTCTCATCGCCTGATCCTGGGCAGGTCTTACACTGTTGTCTCCAGGCCCCCAAGGTCTGCGTGGCTGTCACAGTGAGAAGTTGGGTCATCTGGATTTGATGACTGGCCTATAGTGAAAGCCAGCTGTGGAGGTCATAGTCCCCTGGACTCTTGCTGTCCCTCATTTTGGGGCGCAGATGAGTCCTTTATTTGCTAGCTCTGCACTGTATGTGTGTTGTGTGTGTGTGTTTTAAATAACATTCTATCTTGTGTTTCTGTTTTCAGAAGGGTTATTTAGGGTTCTTGGGGTTCTATATTGTTTGAAATGGTATTCTTCATTAATTATCTGATGAATTAATAGACCTTAAGTTCTGTGAGGTTGTTTGGTTTGCTGCTGTATTTCCAAGAGTTTCTGTGGGGGCCGTAGGGCTTGATGGGAAGGGAAGAGAGCAGCCATGTGACCCTGGCACAGGCGGTCTTCTAGGGGTGACTGTCACGAAAGGCAGTTGATGAAGTGTTATTTACTGCTGGCGGTAAGACTTTTCAATAATAATTAGCTTGGAATGCACTCTGGGTAAAATGTAGGGTGCTAAGATATGGATAACTCATTTTATAATAGAGCAAGCCTGGATTATTGTCTGCATGGAAACCAGAATGTTCTAGGGCACAGAGGCCTTGCCCTGGAGAGAGCTCACAAGGTCACAGGCACAGCACTTTGGCAAGGCTCAGGTCCACCCAGCCTGGGCGCCTATGTATGTGTCTGCATTGGAGTAAGCAGTGGGCCTGGGCTCGGTGAAGGTCTGCTAATGAGTTTTGTTTTTGTTTTGTTTTAATAGCTCCAGTTCTCCCTGGATCCAGAGCCCATTGCCATCAACTGTACAGCCTTTAATCACAATGGGAACCTGCTGGTCACGGGGGCAGCCGACGGTGTCATCCGCTTGTTTGGTATGTGGGTGTGCTCATGGCAATCCTTGTCCCCTCCTCTGATGTCCCAGGGAAGAGAGTTGGATTTTTTGCAACTAGAGGCTATTGTAAAGCCCTGATTTCAGATGTACGTACTAGTGCTTAACTTTGGCGAGAGGTTTCAAAACACCCACAGTAATCAACTTGCACGTGGTTAGTGTCAGCACATGTGGGAGGGGGTGGAGCATGACAGTCCTGGGTCTCGAGCTGTTCTATCAGAGTCCTCGACACCCATGTGGAATCCAGGAGGACAAAGGAGAGTGATGCTGTCCTCTCCACCTGCTGGTGGCAGCTCATTCTCCTCACAAAAGCACCAGAACGGCGCTCCTTAACCAGAGGCATCCGAACCATCCGGCGTGCTGCTTACAAATCCCTAGGCCAGGCCCTGTTCTAGAACAGACCACCAGGTCTGGACCGTATCTTCAGGGGACCCCCAGGACAACCTGGGGGAAGTTACAGAGGGCAGGTGCTAGGGTGTCCCCCTAGACGTAGGGCTCCCCAGAAGAGCTCCAGCTGCCCCTGGGGGACTCCCGAACCTTGCTCTGACCCGGTGAAGGAAGCTGCTTCCGAAGCTCTGACGCAGCCTGACCTCTGGGGCAGGGGCAGCTCTGTGAAAGCCGTCGGGTCCAGCAGGCCTGTGGCCTCCAGAACAGCTGTCACCCCCGAGCGGAGGGCCAGGGGCCCCCTGCTGTGGGCAGATGCCTCTGTCAGTGCCCGGGCCAGAATCTGAGTGGCAGTGTCTCGTTGCCTCAGACATGCAGCAGCACGAGTGTGCGATGAGCTGGAGGGCCCACTGCGGGGAGGTCTACTCCGTGGAGTTCAGCTACGACGAGAACGCCGTGTACAGCATCGGCGAGGATGGCAAGGTACGATTCAGATGAGAGAGCCCTGGAATCACACGATGGGCTGGGTTTAGGTCCTGCCCAGACTGTTTACCAGCCCTGTGACTTTCGGCCTCTTTCTGCCTCAGTCTGTCATCTATAAAATAGGGATAAAATAGCAGTGCATCTCATGGGATCCTTTGTGTGGTCTAAGAGTTCAGTGGGAGTCGGCTATCCTTATGAAAGGGAGTGCCGTGACCTTTCTCCCTGTTGTAGCAAAAGTATCTCATCTCACCATGGATGGGGTCCAATTTGGGACCAAGATATGCTTTGGTGAGCTTGGTAATGGGTGGTCTTGGGACCACTCATGGATGCATAGTTTGCTGAGGGGTTGGGGACAGTTCCGCAAAGGCGTACAGGCCTGAGCAGAGTCCAGAGATGTAAGAAGGAAGCCAGAAAAAAGGTGAAAGTAAAAGCAAACGCCTCCTCGTAGACTGCATGTGTGGAGTGCACTGGGGGCGGGAACAGCGCCGCCCTGGGAGGGCAGCCAGGCAGCAGGCGGCGGCGGGGGAGGTCTAGCTTTCCACGCCTGCCCTCCTGGGCCTTTGGATTTGATACTGTGTACCTTCTTATCCACTGAAAGCAGGAACTATAAAATAAATTCTTCATTTGAAAAGTGTGGGAAGGGATTATTAAAGCTTCACTTCCTATCTGTGTGGGTAGGACTCCTGGTGAAGAGATGGTTGGCTCATGGGTTATGCACACTGCGGTGAGTGAAGCCGAGTTTACCACTGCATCTCTCAGTGACTGCTGAGAAGCTGGAAATGTATTTGGAATCTGTCCTTTCCACCTTGTTCCTAAGATAGAAAAATCTAGTTGGTTTCTAACTCTGATGATGATGATGATGATCATCATGGCGGCACTTGAAGCATTCCCCCTGCCTGAGAGACCAGAAATCCATGCAAAGCCAGTTGCTGTCCCTTTTTCTCTCCTGTTGGACTTTGATGTGAGGTTGCTGACTGTTTTTCTAGATTTTCTTCCTTAAAAAATGCTTAGATTCTGTTGGTGAGAGATGGGACTTGGGAGTGGCCTGGGGACGCCTCACCCCAAGCCCCTTTTCTGCCTTTGGCAGTTGAAAGGCCTTTTCAAAGGTGCCCAAACTGTGGCCCGGGGAGGCAGGTCCCCCTTGCCAGCCTCTGCTCCAGGGTTGGTCCTCACTGTCCCCTCCGGGGTCAGGCCCTGGGCTGCCGCAGGCCAGGCTCTGCTAAGAGAGCACTCTGGTTGTGCTTTGTGACTGCAGTTCATCCAGTGGAACATCCACAAGAGCGGCCAGAAGGTGTCTGAGTATGGCCTCCCCTCCGACGCCACCGGCCCCTTTGTGCTGTCTGGATACAGCGGCTACAAGCAGGTTCAAGTCCCCAGGGGCCGACTCTTCGCTTTTGACTCTGAAGGCAATTACATGCTGACATGTTCTGCCATGGGGGGCGTCATCTACAAGGTAACTGGGTGGGTGTTGTGGGGGGCAGAGGCTTCTTCCCTGGAGGTCAGGGTTGTGGCTGGGCTGAGCGTGACCGTCTGTCCCCACACTGCTGGGCAGTGGAGACACCTTTGACACAGGGTGGCCAGTGTCGAGAGCCTCCCTGCTGTGAGCCAGGTCTGACTGCTTCTCAGCTCAGGTGGAGAAGGCGGGACTTGGGAGCAGCACAAGGCCCCGTCCCCTCTGCTCATCTGGGACTAGATCCTGCCCTTTTCCTGCCTCTGTTCCTTGGGAATAACACCTATTATAGAAAATGTTAAGGAATAACAAGAGTTGAGAAGTGTTAGGGTGGGGGAAACATGCCCCCAAAGAGGTCCAAGCCAGCTGGATTTTTTAGTTGCTCTAATCTGCTATGGATTTGTTATCTTATTGGATGTCCCGTGGGACAAGTACCTTCCAGTCCATGTTTGAGACTGAATTTGAGCATTTGATTTGTCAAACCATAATGTGAGTGTCCACATTGTTGTTGTCCCTCAGCTTACACATTTGTTTAAATTCTCAAGTTACAGCTTTTGTTCCATGTCCTTTTTTTTGTATAATTATATGAAAGTATGTGTCTTCTATTTTACTAACATCATCAGATAGACTAGATGAGGAATTGTGGTGTAGCCTAAGCTCCTGTGTCTGCACCAAGTGAATTCATTCTAAGCCTCAGTGTTACTTTGTAATTATTTGCCTGATGGTGGTGTTTGGTGTGGGTAGAGAGAGTCATACAAGATGGAATGTTCTCAGCAATTCTCGTTGCCACAGCTCATGGGTCAGTTGACAGCATGAGTTTTGGACAGAAATTGTGTGCCAGGTATTGGACTTGGCACTGTGGATGGGACCAAGGAGATATAAGCTATGATCTCTGCTCTCTTGGGGCACACAGTCAAATTAGAGAGAGGCACAGGGCCGACAGTGGGGAACAGCACACCATGGAGCAGTTCTGAGAGGAGGAAGCTCTTAGTGGGGATTGAGTCCTCAGGGAGGACCCCAGGGAGGCCATGGAACCAGGAGGAGGATGAGTTGGTAGATAGGAGGAAGGCAGGCCTTGGGGCCCCACCTGGGCAGAGGCCAGTGAGAGCTCATGGTTTGGGGGAAGCAGATGCTGAGGTGGGAAATGAGGAGCCTTCTAGACTGTGGCCTGAGGCATGTGCAGTGAGGTCTGGGCTCACTGGCAGTAAGGGCCTCTCTTCTATGGAGGGTGATGATTCTAGTGGCTCTTGCTCTCTCCTTAAAAATTAGCTCCATCCTTTCTCATAGCTGCTTATCTCCCAGTGGAGATACAAGCCTGACTTTATTTTATTGTTTTAGTTGAGTTTCAAGTGGGCTATTGAAGAACTTGCTCTCTGTGTGGATATGTCAATATATATGTACGCATATGTATGTTATTTTTAATCATGCAGCTCTTGGCATTTGCCCGGATCAGTTTATATGATTTGCAGTCACACTTACTCTAAAACCAATTAGCAGATTGAAAGATTTTCCTCTGTATGCTTTTTAGAATGTCAATAACAGGTTCTAATTACTTAAGGAATATATTGAGCTTCAGATTCCATTTGGACAATTTATGATGAACTGTGAACAATTTATGATTTCTATAAGTGTTTTCTTATGCTTCGATCACGGGTGGTGTTATGTGCAGTGGTGTTGGTAGTAATTCAGTTTGCTCCTGCTTCCCCTTCCCCATTAGGGCCTGTCAGACTGTGGCTAGCTGGCGGGGCACAGAGACCCATCTTACACGCTGCTTCGGGTGTGGCGGGTTGGCTGGGCTCATGCTCTGGAGCAGCTTGCCGTCCCTAGCATGGAAAGTGAGCCTCAGACAAATAAGGAGAGACACGAGCAGATGCCAGGTGGTGGGAGTGATGCTGTCGGAGAACAGTGAGGGGCTGTGCAGCAGGCACCAAGCCCATAGCAAGTTCAAGGCGGCAGAGAAAATTCCATCTTTTAAGGAGCTTCTTAGGTACTTGTTTTCCACTTCAGATGGACTAATCGTAGTTGGGAAAGTGAAGGCATTTCCTGATTCAAGAATTAACTGACTTTCTGGAAAGGTGGAAAGGTGGGCCCCCGTGCCTGGCCTCGAGGAAGTTGGGGTGGCAGCCCCCAGGCTGGAGCCAGTTTGGCCACCAAAAGCAGATGTGGTGGATGAGTTTGTGAGTGGTGTCTGCTGACACCTCTTCCTCTCTCCTGTCCTCTTGCAGCTGGGTGGTGATGAGAAGGTTCTGGAGAGCTGCTTGAGCCTGGGTGGCCACCGGGCCCCTGTGGTCACCGTGGACTGGAGTACTGCCATGGACTGCGGGACCTGCCTCACCGCCTCCATGGATGGCAAGATCAAGCTCACCACCCTCCTGGCCCATAAACTCTGATGGCCCTGCCCTGAGGGACACCCACAGCAGTATTATCCTGGGCGGGGGGGAGACACACGGTGGAAACGGAGCTCCACTGGCAGCCCCCTGCCGGTGCAGCAGGTCTTCAGGAGAGACTGTCTGAGGAGCTCAGGCACTGCCCAGCTGCGGTGACTGCATGGAGTCACGTGGAGCAGGTGGCTTGTGCTTCCCAGAGACCAGTGTTGTGGGCTGTGCCAGACGCATGCCTCAGAGGAAAGCTCCGGAAGAAGGAGAAACTGTGACAGCTGCTGTGTTGGCCCAGGAGAAATTGACAGTATTATGTATATATTTGCTCATTTTTCTTCTTTTTTAAGAAAAGAGAATGCACTCGTGGTTTCCTTGGGGTCTTTCTGGGATGTGCAAGTCACTTTGCCCTGGCAGTAGTCAGCTGGGGGCTCCCTGCCCTTGGTCTGCGCACCCCAGTCCTTGCGCACCTGCGGCCCGAGGCTGCACTTCCGCAGCTGTGCCTGTTGCTTTGCCGCACGGGTAGGATGTGGCCCACGGCTCTTGTCAGTTCTGCTGGGGTAACTGACGTTTTGAGGTTCCTGTTTCTCTGGGCTCGAGTCAAGGCCAGAGAGTGTTCTTTCTCTTCCCTGAAAATTGGTGGCTTTTGTTACAGAAGCTTCTCAGGAAGAGGGCAGGAGCCGAGGCCTCTGCTGCTGGCCGCCCTCCCGTCCTGGCGGCTGCTGTTTCCCACGCAGGCTGAGAATCCATTGTCCAATATGCCTGGGACCAGAGGTGTTTCAGATTTTGGATTTTTAAATTTTATTTTGGAATATTTGTAAATAATGAGATACCTTGGGGAGGGAACCCACGTTTTCTTTTTTTTTGAGACAGAGTCTCGCTTTGTTGCCCAGGCTAGAGTGAGTGCCGTGGCGTCAGCCTAGCTCACAGCAACCTCAAACTCCTGGGCTCAAGCAATCCTCCTGCCTCAGCCTCCCAAGTAGCTGGGACTACAGGCATGTGCCACCATGCCCGGCTAATTTTTTCTATATATATTAGTTGGCCAATTAATTTCTTTCTATTTATAGTAGAGACGGGGTCTCGCTCTTGCTCAGGCTGGTTTCGAACTCCTGACCTCTAGCAATCCGCCCGCCTCGGCCTCCCAGAGAGCTAGGATTACAGGTGTGAGCCACTGCGCCTGGCGGAACCCAAGTTTTAACACAAAATTCATTTATATGTCATATACTTTATACACATAGCCGGAAGGCAATTTTTATACAGCCTTCTAAATAATTTTGCACATGAAACAAAGTCTTAATTGCAACTCATCACATGAGGTCAGGTGTGGAATTTTCCACTCTTGGTGTCATGTAGGCACTCAAAAAGTTTCGAATTTTGGAGCATTTTAGATTTTAGGTTTTTGGATTAGGGATGCCCAAGAGCACCTCTTTGATTTGGTGGCTCCTCTCATTCCTTCAGCTGGACATCCAAGGAGGAAGGTGCCAGCCGCCTGCACCGCCTGCGCCCCCTGCTGGTGGGTGGGGAAGGGGGTCAGAGAGGGCATGTGGGGTTCAGGCCAGCCCAGCTGTGGCACAGCTGCGCCTGACCAGCTGTGTCCACGCCCTTGCCTGAGGCCTGCCCTCTACTACCTGGCTGGGGTGGGACCTGAGAGAGGCAGATGTTCCCACAAGGTGAGGAACTGAGAGCTGCTCCTGGAAGAGTCATGACAGGATGGCGGGCCTGGGCCTTGGGCTCCGACACTTGGCAGGCGTGAGCTTGTCCCTGAGCTGGGGAAGGCTGCAGCCATGATTCAGTTTAGAGCCTCCCAGCCCGGTTCTGGGAGTGCAGGGCTGGAATGGGGAATACTCCTAGTTACTTTGGGAAGGGCACAGAGAAATTGGTACAAGCCTTGGCTCCATTTTGCTGGGTTTTGAGGGAAAAGTAGCAGGAATTTATGTGGCTTGATTATGAGAAAACACTAGAGACAGAAGTAAATAGTTACCCATTTTTACTCATTTCCACTTTGGTAATCCTTCCCTCAGATGAAGAAACCAAGACTTCTCCATGTATTACTATATCTATATTATATAGTATATAGTATATTATAGTTATATATATGGTATATATATATACTATATTATATTATATAATATAGTATATACTATATTACTATACTTTCCCCATCTGCATCGAAACAGCAACCATATTTATCTCACCCAGTGATTCTGTAGGACATTTAAGATGTGGTCATGGGTTTCATTTGGGAATTTAACTTTTCCTCTCTTTATCGTGAAATTTCTGTCTGATTATCCATTCCCTCCTCTCAATACGGTCTCCACAGCTTGCCGAAATGGCTTTAAGGATTGCAGAGACACAAAGAAGCCCTTGAAGCCCTAGTGTCCCTACCTGTCCCACATCTTACCCCCTCCAGGATGAGCTCTCATCCTCAAATAAAGCATGTAGAGCTCAAACTTATCTCTCCTTCAAATACCTGCTCAGTATCTACCCAGGCACCCAAGCAAGACTCCTCTGTTACCTTGGGTGAACGTTGCATAGAGGAAAACCATCAAGCCAGTCCAAGCCTCAGTCCTCTGAGCTGCACCTGGCCTGGTGTTGACCCTCTGCTCTGGCTGTGCACGTCCATATTTCCTGCCCTCTCCTCAGGTACCTGCCTGCACTTGGCTGCTTCTGCTCCGGGGACTCGGGCCAAAATCCAGCCCCTTAATGTGGCATTCAAATGCTTCAGGAGTTCAACATGGTGTCTTTTTTAGGGATATATACAGTGTGGGAGGACTAAATCTAGCTAATTGACATATGCATTACCTCACACGATAAATACAATTTTATCTGTCAGTTTGAAGACCAAAAACCCCTCAAATCCTTCAGGTGTTGACTCCAATCCATGCAAACCACAGAGCTCTGATTCCTTACCCCTCCTGGGGGAGGGAGGATGGGTTTCTCTCCCGTCAAAAAAAGCTTTTAAGGCAGTCTTGTCTGCTCTTCAGGCCTTGTTTTCCAGCTGGCTATGAAAAGAGGTTTTAAGGAGAGATGCACAGGGGGTGGTACTGTTAGAGAAAAAAATTAATGGTACTCATTAAAACACAGTAAGGAAGACTTTATTCAGGATTATCTCAATAGGTCTAGGGAGCACTGCAGTGAGGTCTTCCAGTGGGGGAGAGACATTGGGCTCAAGTTCAAATACAGCATGGTCCAGTAGGAATTTACAGCCAAGGAGCAGGGTGGGGGCCTGGGGATAGAAAATTGCTCAGAGGAAGCATCAGGGATGAGGGGATTCTGGCTAAACCGACCTAACGGGTTTCTTGCTGAGACAGGCCAGGGTGGTCAGACATCACCTGGTGGAGGAACCTGATAAGGTACCCAGGGTGATCAGATATCATGTAGGATGGGGGAGTGGTGCTTACCAACCAACTGGATTTTACAAGGAAGTGCACACATGGGTCTAGTAGAAGATTCAGAAACCTGACCAAAGTTTGGCCAAGCAAAGAATCTTTGTCAGTTCTAATAGTAAGTATTTTCTTTTCCTTTATTTGCAAAACAAAATGATGCTTCTCAGCCCCAGTGGCAGCTGGACTTGGCCTTGCCCTGGCTCATAGCTTGTGAGAGGGAGGACCCTAGAGGTCAGTGACTGGAACACCTTCCGGTGGCGGAGGAGAAGCGCGTCCTGCCCTAGGGGGCTGCCCTCCTGAAGAGGCTGGAGGCGACCTGGTCCAACCTGCTGTGATCGCTGATGTATCTATCTCCTTAAGCCTTGATTCCTTTAAACTTTCCCCTGCAGCCTACTGCCCTAGGATGGAGGATTAGTATTCAGCAGCGTGGTGAAAGTGCTTTGGAGCAGCGGTAGCTAACCTTTTTGGCAGTAGGGACAGTTTTCATGGAAGGCAATTTTTCCAAGGAGGCTGGGTGAGGGGGGATGGTTTCGGGATGATTGAAGCGCATTACGTTTATTGTGCACTTTGTTTCTATTATTATTGCATTGTAATATGTAATGAGATAATCGTACAACTCACCATATGGGGACCCCTGCTTTGGAGAAGCCAGAGGCACCTCGCTAGTGGAAGAAGAGCTCGGGCTCTGGTCTCCAAGCTCTGTGCATCTCTAGTGTGTGGATAGTAATCATTCTGTTATTAGCTGATTTGTTGGAGAGCACATTTCAAACAGCCCTCTCGATTTCTCATTTTAGGGGCAGACCGTGTCAGATCATCTTTTTTACTTCAAAATGCCCTAGGTGAAGGCTTCAGCTTGCGCTGGCGTTTTTAGTCATGTTTCCAACCTGGGGGGTTCTTTCCCAGCCTCTTTTAGGCTGCTTTAAGCTGTGTGATTTTTAACTAAAACTCAATGCTAATTCCACGGGACAACTGCAGAGCTCGGACCCAGGACACCTGGGCAGCGTGGTGGAGCCGCCCTGTACCCCAGTGAACCTCTGAGGCCACCAATCTGAATATTAGTTAGTGACGCCTACTTTAAGATAACACAGGTAAGCAGAGGCTCTAATTTCTCTTCCTGCACCCGAGGGGCTCGTCTTGCATCTCCGCCCCCGGGATGCGTCGTCCAGCAGGGAGCGTCCAACTTGGTTTCTGTGGGAATCCCCGGCGAGATTCCCCAAAATACAGAGCCCCTTCCCTTCCCCTAATTTCTGATTCAGGGGCTCGGGAATTGACACTTCTGCTTTCCATCAGCCAGGCGGCTCCGCTCCCCTAGCGCCAGCAGCGGGCGGGAGCCCCTGGGACCCGCAGCGGACGCGAGCGTGGAGCGCGGCCTGCAGGGGGCGCTCCCGGGCTTCCGTGTCCGCGAGCACCCGGGAGCCGGGACCGGAGGGGGCGGGACCGGAAGGGGCGGGGCCGTGCTGGGTGCTGTGTGAGTCGCGGGGTCTGGTGCCGGAGTGCGCGGAGGTTGGGCTGGGCCGGGGTCACGGGGCTCTGGGGTCTCGGGGACACGGGTCGCACGACCGGCCCGGATCGGCGTCTCGGCTGCGCTCCGGAAGCCAAGAAGGGGGCGCGGGGCCCGGGGGAGGCAGGGCGCCGGGCCGGAGGAGCGCGCCACCGGCGGCGGGCCTGGCCTCGGGCGGAGAGCCGTCCTGCCCCGAGCGCCCGGGCCTGGGGCCGGGTCGAAGGAGTCGGTGCAGCCAGTCCCCGGGCCTGGGCAGCGTGGCCTCGCGAGGGTGCTTCCGCCGCGTGCTCCCTTCTGCAGCCTCGGCTCCCCGGCTCCCCGCGCAGGGCGGCACTGCGGGTCGGTGCGAGCGCAGTGACCTGTCCGGGGAGCGAGCGGCGGGCTGCGAACTTGCGATGCTGGCAGATCGCGTTCGTGCGGGGCCTCCGTTTCATCCAAGTAGCGGGGAGCCTGGGATGAGGTTTTCCAGGGTCCCACGGGGCTCGACATCCTGTGAGCACTGAGCTCCGGAGAACGTGCTTCCGGGAGATGCTGCGGCCACCCTTGCGGCCGCGAAGCGGGGCGGGCAGGCAGGGGTCGGAGCCTGTAGGACCTGCCTGTTACTCCTGGATGACTGATTTCAGACTTCTGTGCCCATGTTCTAATTAACTAAGTCTCAGTTCCTTTTTGTAGAACGCACTAAATATCCACTTCAGGGTCAAGTTTCTGCTTGCATAGACTACAACACTTTGCGCTCTGTTGGTCATTAAACGGCCGGAATAACCGTTATCACCGTCTGAATTCTGACAGAAATGAAGGCACATTGGCAAGGGTCTATGCTCTGGCCGGACAGGTGTGGACGGTGGCCTGCTAATTTTTTTCTTAAGCTGTAAGCAGCCATCCTGGGTGAGCAATAAATTGTCAAATTATGACTCAGAGAGGACTTATTTTTTGCTGACTACCTTTTTCTGGGCAAACCTTTGTTTCAGTAAGATCTTAGGAGCTTCTGGGTTGATTCCCAAGCAGAAGGCAGAGACCTAGTCCCATTGTCACAGCCCCTTCTCTCTGGGTGGGGACTGGGCTTCAGGACTGAGGGCTGAGGCAGAACAACAGGTAGGGAAGAGAGACAAGTTAGAGCAGGGGCTGCGGGGTCCGCGATGAAGGAGGGGTGGATTCTGCAAATCAGGGACTTGGGATTCTGCCCAGTGTAGTTACGCTCCCTATCCCCTACTGCTGGTAAAGTTTCACCAATTGGAAGTATCTTTAGGTAAAAGGAGAGGTATATTGGCCAGTGAAACCTTATTGTGAATCAAAATGGCCTCAGGCCAGGAGTTCTAGACCAGCCTGTGTAACATAGCAAGACCTGTCTCTACAAAAAATTTAAAAATTAGTGGAGTGTGGTGGCACGAGCCTGTAGTCCCAGGCTGAGGCTGGAGGATTGCTTGAGCCCAGGAGGCAGGAGTTCTAGGTTGTAGTGAGCTCCAGCCTGAGCAACAGAGGGAGATGTTGTCTAAAAAAAACAAAAAACCCGGATGGTCCAAGTGGCTCAGTGGCTCAGTTACAAGAAACCCCGAGACCATCCTTGGAGAGAAAATGAGTATCTGGAGTTGGAGCAGATGAGGGAGCAGTCACTGAGAAGTGTTTTAGGGGTTAGGTATGCTGGGCACCCTGGGGACAGTGGCATTTAGGGTGGTGAGGCAAGGGACTTTAAAGGGCTCTGCCACCTCTCCTCCTTTCCCTGGGGAGGGTGTTCATCTGTCTCCCTTGCTGACCCCATTGCCGAGGAGAGGAGGCTGCTGGGAGGCATTTCTGCTTGTCTCTAGCTGCCTGTGTGGGGCACCTGGCACGGGTGCAGGTCCCAGGGCCCTGTCTCCCAAGCCCATTGTGCCGCCCTCTACCCACACCTGCCTGCCAGCGGCCATCTGAGTCTAACCCTGCTCACCCTCTGGGTCACCTCTGGCCTGCCCTGCCTAGTGACTGGCTGATGACTGGAAGTATTCTAGCTTATTAGAATTCACTGTACTTTGTTCTTTGTAAGATTTCAAGGTTGACTCCCATCATGGACAAATAGACCTATAATTCCCGGTGTGATAAGAGAGTGGGATTTGCTTTTCTGAATTAGAAAAGCAGGTCATTAAGCTTGGGTCCTGATTCCTCTTTGTGAAAAGGTACAGAGATGGAAAGCTTAAAATCTGAGAATAAAAAGAGGGTCCTTCCCTCATGGATGACAGCCTCAGAGGCTGAGAAGAGAGTGGCGCCGGTCAAGACCCCCAAGAGGAGGAGAATGGCAGCGGTGCCGGTGGCAGCAGCAAGGTGGGACAACCTTTGGTCAGAGGGCTCCCAGGGGAAACCCAGAGTTGGGGGATGGGGGCTCCCAGTCACTGGGCCCGGTCATCAGTGTGGGCAGAACAGCGAGGTGGGTGGGCAGTTCAATCTAACAGTCTCTCCTTGAGCTCTTAGGAGGTGTAGTGGGCGCAGGCAGGAGGCAGAGAGAGCTGTCCCCTCCCAGACAGGTGCTCGCTTCTGCCTCTGCGTTGGTCCATGTCCTGCCGTCAGGCCTTCGGTTGTCAGCACACAGACGTCAGCCACGCTCTCAGAGGGCAGTTGTCCAAGATACCAGTCTCTTCCTTTGCATCAAAATTGTATTCTAACATCAAGCGGGCAAATCCATGGACCAGAGTGTTGGGTCTCCTGCTCCCCCTGTGTGTGGGCAGACCTTTAGGGACACACAGGAGAGCAGCAGGTGGCGGGGCCAGTGGGAAAGCAGCAGCAGGGGATGGGTGGGTTGAGGGGCAGCAGTTTGTGGAGATGGGTCTCACGCCACAGGCATCCGGTGGGAGGAACATCCCTGCTACCCTGCTGGCAGGGCACTGGGCGCCCAGGGCTCCCTCTCTGGCCCCTTCTTTTCTAAGGTTTCTTAGCTGACCAGCCGTCCCTCTGGGACTGCTGCAGTCTTCCCCTAAATGTGTTCATGCATCTGGGCACGTTGCAGTCCAGTCTCAGCCTGACGGCCCTGCCCGCTCGCTCTCGGGAGCCAGCCACCATTCCCTATTTCCCTCCTCATGGGGAGTTGGCAGAGGGTGAGCAGCCCCCAGTGTTGTCTCCGTGAACCCCTGTGCCAGTCACCGGCCTGCAAGGATGAGGAAGTCGTATTTGTGCCCAAGGAAGCCCTTCAGCTCAGAGGCGCCGGTGCCCTCATCTTGGTGGGAAGGCTGGGGGACGAGACCCTGTTGCTGTCGTCTTGTTCTCTTTCTCCTCCCCGTGAGACCTGAGACCCTCTGTCCCCATCTGTGGCTTTGTGTCTTGGTTTCAGACCGCCCGCGGTGAGGACTGTGTACTGCATGAGTGAGGCGGAACTGGTAGACGTCGCTCTGGGGGTCCTGATTGAGGTAAAGTCACCTGTGTCTCTTCTTCCTCTCGGGACCGGAAGCTCTTCATGGGCAGAACCTGGGCTAGGCCTTGGTCCAGCAATAAAAGAGACGTGGCTTCCGCGGGAACCCTCCTCTGTCAGCCTCTCCCCACCCGGCCTTGCCCAGCTCTCCTCTCAGCCTCTGCCCCTGTGGGAAGCCCTGAGGGCTGTGCTGTGGGGCTGGACCCCACCCGGGAGGGTGTGGGTACGTGAGGAGAGTGTCTGTTTGGGGTGACTGTGGCAATGTGCATGAGGAGGGATGCAAGTGTTTACCTGTTTGTGTTTGCAGAAAGGGTCTCAGTTGGGTGAGATGGACTCTTAGCCACCCCACCTCTCCTGTGCACAAGGCCACTGCAGTTTCCTGGCTTCCTGGAGTAGTAATTACTGCATCGCCTTAATGTTGTACAGCACTTTATAGTTTATAGGGGCTTCAATATCGTGTATTATCTCATTTAATCCTCGTGATAACCCTGGGGTATAGTTATTTCAGATTCTATTATCCCCAGGAAATTGGCTCTGAGACTTTTCCGTAGTTCCATAGCTAATAAGTGACCAAGTGTGGGCCCACACCCAGGTTTTGTGTCCTGGGCTCCTTCCATTCTGTCACCCTGCCTTTCCAGACCCATTTTTTCTATTTGTTTCTTTTTGCTTTCTACTCAGCTGTTCCTCATGCCCCTGCCTGCTTCCCTCCCGAGTTGGTTGATTTCTTCAAGGGCTGCGACGAGGTGGTTGGGGTGGGGGAGTAGGGTGAAGAGAGGGTGCTCACGGTTTGGGAGCAGGGCCTGGCCTGGCCACTCGCTGCTTGGCAGTTGCTTCTGGGTACGTCCTACGTCACTGACAGACAAGCCAGTACGTGAGGGAAATAAAGCCTGTACGCTATAAAGCCTGCCGCCTCTTCTACTCCACAGAGCCGCAAACAGGAAAAGCCGTCTCCAGTGGGCGCTGATAAGCCGGAGCTCTCCCCCGCCTGCTCTGTGTCCCCTCACACGAGTTCCGGGAGCGGCAGTGAGGAAGAGGACAGTGGGAAAGACACCCATGACCCAGGCCGCAGCCCGTCCCCAGGGCCAGGGCGTTCTGACGCTGCCTGCAGCAGGAGCCCCAAGGAGGACGAGGATGTGTTAAAATACGTCAGGGAGATATTTTTCAGCTAAGGGATGAGCTGCTAACTGGACTTTCTGCTGAGAGCAGCTGGAGGACAGCTGGACTTCTGCAGGGGCTGCTGGGGGCTGTCCCCAGGGTGTAGAGGGAGCCATCTGTGCTCCCACCCCTGCGTCTCCCTGGGCCTGGCAGCTTCACCTTGGGCCAGGAGCCCCAGGACGCCTGGGCCTTGGGGCTGTCGTTTTGAGTGTGTGGAAGGGAGGACTCAAATTGAGTTCTCATTGTAATTCATCTCTGCACTGTGCCCTCTCCCACTCACAGCATCTGGATTTTATTAAACAATCATCTGTTTTATTCAGTTACCAGGTTCCAGGGAACAGGAGGTCATACAGTGGTCTAACTTTTTGGAACCAAAGAGACAATACTTTTCAAAGAACAGTATGGCTGCTATTATGGTGTAATTCCTACAGTTTAGTCAGCATGATCTATCCTGAGGAGGAAGCCTATTTTAAAAATAGTTCCCATCACAAGGTGATCAATCAGTGAGCTCTCAGCCCTCTAACCAGCGTGGAAGGCAGACCAGCTGCCCACAGTTCTCTGCCCTGTCTGGGAGCTTGAAGGTCACAGTGCACAGGCCAGGAAGCCAGACAGGCCTCCCGGGCCTGCCTTCCACCTGGTGGCCTGCACGTTGGCCCCTGGGCAGCTGTAAAGCAATAGTGGGACAGGAGCGTGGACGAGGCACCAAGGACGAGAGATTACACCAGAGCCCATGTAGAAACGTGTTCTCTGTATTCGCTGTGGCTTTTGGCAGGCATAGAGTAAGTCATTTGCCATACAGGTTTTCCAATATACAGGTGCTGAAAAATGCACAAAATTCCCCAATGTGTAAGTCATGCTTACATCCCTCCCAGTTCCAGTTGAGAAGTGAAGGGATGCGGCATCCTGGTCACCTTCCCTTGTCCAGGATTTGGTGTACTTCTGGGTCTCATCACAGGAATGATATACCAGTGACTACTCTGCTCTTTCAGGTCCAGGGCCTTTTCAGGGGAGCCTTCAAAGCCGCCAAGGCTTCTCTTTGTGCCCATGTGTTCTGTCTTTGTGGAGTCCTTCTGATCATTCCTGGGCCTTTGGCAGCAGAATCCCAGAAGGGGGCTCATCTCGGCCCACTCACTGCAGATCGGGGAGCAGAAGCTTGGTAACGTGGGCCTGAGGGACACCACAGTGCTCTTCCTTTTACTATCCCCATTTGTTGCCATAAAACTTCTGGGCTCCAGTTTGGCATTTGGCTAATCAGCCTGGGACAGAAATCCTTACCTCTTCCCCCACTCCTGAGGCTAGAGTAGGAGTTGCTCAGATCAGTTAATTAAAGCAGGAATTCGTGTGACAATGAGCTGCGTGGTTTTATAGTGTTCTTGGAAGTCCTGAAGGACAGACAGTCCTATATAAGAAGCTGCAGGTGCTCCAGCCACCCTTACTGCCTCTTGGCCTCCTTGATGCCAGGGCCCCACCTGCTCTGCGGTGGGATCCATCTGCCGGAGCTTGAGATCAGCATTAGCTATGAAACGAGACGGCTGAGCAGACACGCCACCTTCTCCAAGTGGTTGGAGCTGAACCATTGCAATCTCATGAGCCTCTAGACAGGACTAGCAGCTCTCAAGCTGGCTCTTGTCTTTCTTGGCCCTGGGAGGGAACACAGCTGTGGCCATTAGCAAGAGGATAAGCAAGGCCTGGGCACTGCCCAGAGCTAGAAACCCAGGCCCCAGGAGAGAGAGACTGAGCCACTTCCACACATAGGAGAGGAAGAGGCCAAGGCCACTGGCCAGCAGCGCGGAGGCCACTGCCAGGAAGCCCACTGCCAGCTGCCACTCTCCTTCATCACCGTTGCACCAGGCCAGGAGGAGAGGCAGGGGGACAAAGAAGGTGAGGACCAGGGCCCCGTACACACCAAGCCTGGCCAGGGCCAGGCCAACCCGGGGCATTCCCAGGGCCTCCAGCTCAGGGAACTGGAGACACTGTAGGGAGCTGGTGTCCTCGTTCCACAGGCAGAAGTTGTAGAAGCCGATTCTCAGGTTGGGCAGGTCAGTGAGGTTGCCAGCTTTCCAGAGCAGAGCGTAGAAGAGCAGGGAGAGGACCACGACTGCGAGGATCAGGATGCTCAGGAACGGCAGGTCGTGGCGCCACTGTGGCCTTGAGATGGCCATCTCTCCTTCCCTTTGCAGTGGGACCTGCAGGGAAACCACACCCGTGAGTGTTCGCCTCTCCCTTTGGCATTCCATAAAAACCCACGGTCAACTTCCCTTCTGCCCTGCCGGCCACCAAGGACAAGAAATCTGAGGTAACCTACAGCCAGGACCCACTTGCTGCATCATCAGCTGCCTCTCTGGTTTCAGGTCAGGAGGAAAGTCGCTCCCAGGCAGCTCTGAAGGTCTGAACTGCCTTAACTGAAGTGCCCTTTGGTCAAAGGCTTTGCTGCAGCCCAAGTACAACAAAAGCAATCCACTGAGAACATTTGTGAGGGAGTTTCCTAGATCCTTATCCATCGTGGATTCTGACTGAGGTGAAGGACAAGGCTCACTCTTGTTGGGGACCTGAAGGTGGAGGAAGGTGCTGGGTTTCACCACGGTTGCCATGACAGCCACCATGGTTGCTATAAAGACTATCCATTGCTGGGCCATAAATCAATCAAAACACAACTGTGCTTGGAGCTGGGCACTGGTGTGTTTTCAGAGCTGTGCAGCTCACTGTCATGTGAGCCTGGGCGGAGGTCTGCTACCACACCCACCGTGGAATTTTATCTGCTGTGCTTTGGGAACTCACTGCTGGGTCAAGACAAGATGTCACCAGGCAACAAAATCACATTGTACGTGGTACTCATTACTTTTAAAAGTCTACAATTTTTCTTGACAACAGTGATATATGTTAATTATGGAAAACTTAGAAAATATTTTTAAAAGATAAAAAATAACCTTTTATCTCACCCCACAGATAGAACCACTATTATTTAATTATATCTTAACTATTTTTTTTTCCTGTGCTGATGTGCTTTTACATAATCATACTGTTGAATGTAATACCTTTTCCCACTGGATATCGTGGACATTTTTCAAAGCTGTTAAATATTCTTCAAAATCAGTGACTGCACAATAATTCCTGTCATAGAATTATCCATTACACTATTATTAATCATTTCCATTTTCACCATTATAAGTGACAGTTAATGAAGATGCTTATATGGGCCTTGTTTGGAATCTGATTTTTCCTTAGGCAAGGTACCTAAAATACAATCATTGGGTCAAGGGTAGAAATATCTTTTTAGTGCTCTAACTGCATATTGCCAAAATGACCTAGAGAAAACTTGCTAGTTCTAGTCCCTCTAGTTGTATATAAAAGTGGCCATTTCATTATACTATTATTCTTTTAAAGAATCTTTCCACTTTTTAATCAGAAGGGCTTTGTCAAGTTGGCCTCTGAAACAGCAATCTGCATGTCTATTTTGTAATGTGGAATAAAACAGCTGTTTACATCCAGAAGTGATGAGCAACACGGTCCTGCGGGCTCTGTGAGGCACAAGGCACTGGGGCCACGATCCAAAATGGCCCGGAAGCCCCAGCCAGCAGTGTCACATAGTGTCCCCCAGTGAAGGGAGTGGTGGGCCTGGGGAGGGACCTGGAGACTACACAGTCCTGATCAACTTCTGAGGGGACTCCGCAGGGGCACGGCCTCCTCTTTCCCAAAGCTGACTGGAGGGTCTGTCTGACCCCATTACACTGCATTTGTTCTACAAGAACATTTAGGGACCAAATGGAACGAAAGAACAGGGACAGGCTGAGGGAGGGCTGCTCCATTGTGTGTGCCAAAAATGAGAAGGAAAATTTACCAGCGAGTCCTTTGGCAGAGCTCTGGGCGTGCTGCTGGCTGGCTGCAAGCAGGGTCCTGTTGGGACAGTGGGCCTAGGTCTATGCTGCCACTGCCTCACCCCGGACACCGCGGGCCTGGGCCTGGGCAGCACTGGGCAGTCTGCCCGGTTCCGCCGTGGCTTCTGCTCCAGAGGAGACACTCAGAGGGGAGGAACGAGGCCAGTCCCAGCGAGGCCCTGGCTGCTGCCTCTCGTGGTGGTAGGGACAGAAGCAGGTTGGCAGCACTAACCACAGGAAAAGACAATGGGGCGGGGGTGAATGCGAGGAGGCCAATGAGCGTTTAGAACCAAACCTGCAACAGCAGGAACTTGAGGTCAGGGACTTTTCCTGGCCAGGAGCCTGTGCAGAAACTAGGAGCTCGTGACTTTCCCTCATTAATATATATTAGCATGGTAAAAATCACGCCCACCAGCGCCATGACAGTTTACAAATGTCATGGCAACTCCTAGAAGCTACCCTATAAAGATAAAATTGGGAAGTGCCCTTAGCTCCGAGAACTCTTCACCCTTTACTCAGAAAAATAATGAATATTCTGCCCACCCTTTAGCATATCATAAGGTGTAGACGAGAAAGTAGAAGTGTGGTAAGGACCCAGGGTCTTCTCCACTTGACAGATCCATTTGCCCTCTGGAAACGTACTTCTCTTTGCATGCTTGAAGCCTGCAATAAAAGCCGCTTCTCTGGAAGTATTCAGTGTCTGTGATCACTCCATCATATTGTCCCTGCTTGTGATTTTTCCAAGCAAGGAGCCAAAGAACTGGGGCTGCACCTCTCAAAAATCAACCCTGACATGTGGCACCACCACCCACTACCGCTCAAAGGCTCTGGAGGCCTGAGAGGCCGAAGACCCTGGTTTGAAGGTAGTTGGGAGATTCTTGGAGCAATCATGCTTGCTACAGAAGGATTTATTAGGAATTAAAAAGGGAGCTTTAGCCCATATGGTATTAGGCTGGTATGATAAGGAGTTTCAACCAGTGCTCCCATGGCATGGGAAAGATTCACAACAGGAACACATTTTGTCTGGTTTTACATATTTAACAAATGTGTTTGTAAAAGCCTGTTTCTGTGTTTTTAATGTTTTTTTTTATAAACAAGTATTTTAAGGTGTGGCATGGATTTCCAGCATGGGAACACTGATTTAGTTACAGTGATGTGCTGTGGGAAGTAAGGTTTGACATGCCTTCATTGCCCAGGAACCAACTGGGATGGGAGTTGGGGTGCCTTTGTTTCAGTGCTCCCTCTCGTTTCTCCCATTTAAATTCTGTTACATTTGGGATCCAAAAAATCATTATTATTAAACATTTTCGCCTTGAAAACAGAGCTCAACTTAAAAAAATGAACGTGACTGCTCAGGGGGAGAGATTGCATCAGACGCCTAGCTGAAGCTCCTGCCAGGGCCCGAGCCTTTGTTTTGACTTCCTCATTTTCTCAACTGACCTCTTGGGGTTTTAAATGGAGAGTGGAACAAAATAAAACTGGAGCCAAGAAGCCCAGGACCAGGCACGTGGAGAACGTGGCAGTCCCGGGTTCCCTTTTTTTTCTCATCTATGTTCAGTCCCAGCTCCTGCACCCATACTTGAGGCTCTCCCCCATCTGCTGCGATTTGGCACTTGCAGTTCTCTGCGAGGCCCAGCTTCCACCCTGCTTTGGCTGTGCCCGTTCCTATCAGTCCACCCTGAGCCACTCCTCAGCCCCTAAAGTCCTGCCCTATCTTCTGCTTCCCTCAATCCTATTAGTGCTGCGTGGCCATTCGTGGCTCCTTCAGCCCACACTGGTTTAGCCATGATTAGAATGTGCTCTCCACCAGAATGTGATCTCTGAGGAACAATCTTTATCTCTTTTGCTATTCTGATGCACAGTAGGAGCTCTTTTTTTCTTAACGAATGAATGAAGATGCCATGTAGTCTCCCTGCATTTTTTTGTGTGCACATCTTAGTTGCACATCTTAACAGGGCAGCAGAGCTACTTGAGTCTTGGCCATGTTTTATGTCTCACACGTGCTCAGCACAGTGCTGGAATGGTCCATCTATGTTGGAAATAGGGACAGACTGTTGTTCAAGAGCTCATGTGCAGAGAGGTTGGAGGCTAGTACTTGCTTCCTTTCCTAAATGGTTTGCAGTGGCAACACATGGCTCTTTGGTTGGAAGCCCCCTTGACACTCTTCTCTGCTGCCCCAAGGGCAGGCCTGTTTTTGTGGTTTCTAACAATCTTGGTAATCAGGCTTTCACCACAGTGAGCTTTTTAATTCCCTTTAATGATAAGTGATTGCTTCCCTCAGAGGGCAAAAGGGGAGACTACTGAGTCACTGTGGCCATTTTTTTTTTCTTTTGAGACAGAGTCTCCCTTTGTTGCCCAGGCTAGAGTGAGTGCCATGGTGTCAGCCTAGCTCACAGCAACCTCAAACTCCTGGGCTCAAGCAATCCTGCTGCCTCAGCCTCCCAAGTAGCTGGGACTACAGGCATGCGCCACCATGCCCGGCTAATTTTTTCTATATATATTAGTTGGCCAATTAATTTCTTTCTATTTATAGTAGAGACGGGGTCTCGCTCTTGCTCAGGCTGGTTTCGAACTCCTGACCTCGAGCAATCCGCCCGCCTGGGCCTTCCAGAGAGCTAGGATTACAGGTGTGAGCCACCGCGCCCAGCCTTACTGTGGCCATTTTTAGATGAACTTTTCCTGTTTATAATATGGTAATACGTGCTGATTGCAGAAAACTAGAAAATATGTGAAAATGTAAAGAGATTAAAAATTATCTATAACTTCAGGTCATAAAAATAACCACTCTTTGCAGCACATTTCTTTTTATAATGTTGTTTTATATAGTTGAGATCAGATAAATATATGTTTGTATCCCATTTTGTGAACATCATTATCTCAAGAATGAGAAATGTTTCCTAAATGCTATCTTTGAGGGCGGCATATCGATGTATCATAGTTGATAGTTTTTATATGTTATGCTTTATAACATTATTTTGTAATATTATAATATAAACAATGCTATGGTGAATATGTTTATGAGAATGCTTATCTCATCCTCCCTAATAGTACATATTCTTGAATCTTTTAATCTTTGATAGTGACAAGTGATGAATCAGTTATTTTTTTCTTTCATAATTAGTAAAGCTTACCATTTTTAAGTGTTTGCTGACCATCTATACTGTTTCTTTTGTGAAGTGCTATTAGTTCTTCTGCTTTTTTAAAAAAAACATTTTGAGTTTTCATTTTTGATTGTTGCTCTGTATGAGCCCTTTATAAATGAAGACTGTTAGCCTTTTGCTATCATAATTGTCATAGGAGAGCATAAACCTTTTGCTGCTCTAGGAGCCCTGGACCAAAACACAGATTTAGACTCCAGGTCTCTGTGTGGATGTGACTGTTGTCACTCAAGAGCCACAGTGTGAGCCAGGCCTCAGGAGGGAGATAATTTCTGCTCAGAGGGGAAGCAAATTCCTGATTAGGGAAATAGATGGAAAATCTTCTTAGGAGATTACTTTAAGGCAGGTTTTTATTTGTCTGTTTAAGCATCTCTAAAATTTTTATTCCAATATAGGAGAATGGGATGGTGGGCTGAAAGAGACACAGCATTGTATCATTTAATTCTGCATTATGTTCTTGTCAGGTTCATAGCAAAAGAGTGAAACTTTCATGAGGCTGTGACTGAGGGACAATTAGAATTCTGGCAGATTGTTACATTAAAATCCCTCTGTCTGTCTGTGGTGCTGGGTAACAGGAGTGTCGTACACCCAACAGGCAGAGAAACAGAATGAACTGGAGAATTTCCTAGCTTACATTAGCATTTCAGCCGTAGCTCTGAACACAAATGGCACCTCCCTAAGAAGGAGCCACTTCTTACCTATAAGGAATACTTGAGTAGGGTTGAATGAGCAGGGAGACCATTTCTTGCTTTTGACTTGCTTATTGTCATATCTTTTTGGCCTAGTAATCCCACTTTTATAAATCTATCCTAAAGCAGCAATCAGAAATGCAGTCAATGATTTATACATAGGTATGTTCATCACACTATAACTTTCGACAAAAAATAGGAAGCAACTTGAATGCTAAATATTAGAAGTAAATTAAGACATACCAAGATGGTGAAACACCATGCAGCTTTTAGAAAAAGCAGATATAAAATCACCTTACAGAGTGTGACTACATCTACATACAGATGCATAGAAGAAACAGAATAAGGGCAAATTTTTAAATGTTAATATTATCTGTGGTATCTCTGGATGCTGGCATTATACGCAATTGTTCTCTTTTGCATTAGAAATATTTCCAGAATTATGTACTATATTTATGAAAAAGTAAAAATTATAAAGCAATCGTAAACAACCTTAATAAGTAGATAAAGCAGGTCCAATCTGGAAAGAAATTTGAGTAGGGGAATATGTGCAAAATTCAAAAAAGAATGTCACATGAACTGAACCTCAGACAAGAGATTGTTGGAGGGAAGGGTTTATGGAAAAACGATACTGAAAAATGTACTTTCGTTGTCCTAAAGGAAGAAGGAAAGAAGGAAATATGCATTTTTTTATCTCTTGCAAAGAAGATTTTACAAGTGAAGAATTGTAATGGAAGTTATTAGTGAAACTAAGCCCACATTTTTAAAAACAATCTCTTAAGATATGCACCAGGAGAACTAAAATTCCACCATGAACTTCCATCCGGGCATGAAAAACAATATAGTACAATAACATAGAGTCAAAAAATCTCTTAGACCCTATTATATTATTTGAGGCAAGAACACAGGTCTTTCTGACAGTCTTAATTCTGTGTGTATTTTAAGGTTTCACAGTGTTGTAACTACCTTTGAATAATAGTTTAGCTACTGCTGGTCAGTGGCTCACTTTTGTTTGACACTGTATTTTGATGAACAGCGTGTTTCACAAGCCAAGGCATTTATTTGTACAGACTGTGTGCAAGCCCCTGTGTATTTCTAACCAGTTATACTGGCATTCCCTTGATTATTTTTGAGGCCAGAGATATACAGGGCAATGCTGAAGAGAGCGGAAGGAAGGAGAGCTGGAAGTAAAGTGGGTAAGATTTGGCAGTTTCAGGCATAATCTAAGGACTCGCAACTATAGAATGTGAAGATTTAGCTTTCTTCTTCCCATCTCTGTGTTCTACATTGTGATTCCTACCTCCCTCTGTCCAAATTACTTATATTGTAATTTCATTTAAATCAATATTCAGTGTTTACAATATTATGACTATGTAATGGGGGGTAGATCATACAGAGGAGAGGGAGGGAGGAAAGGTCCCTCCCTCTGAACAACCAATTATTTCCCCTCTACAAATTGCTAGAATGTGAGATATCTGAGAAGAAAACAAAATTGTCTCGCAAGGTGATGGGCACCTGGGCAGGCTGCAGTGCTTGTAGGGTAGGTACTCACAAAAAGAAGGTGCAGAGCCCACAGGAACCCTCGTGGAGTGGAGGAGCAGGAAATCGGGCCGTCTGGTTGAATCTTCCTTGTCGCTGGCTTTCTGATGTCAGGCTCCAGAAGGGAGGACAGT